CATGTTGGGCAGAGTGGGGGCAGCAAGAAACCCAACTTTACTGACTCTTACACTGATAAGATGAAAAAACTCCTGCATTGTCAAAACACTAGACAAAGTGTATCACTTAAAGCAGTTACAGCTCCTAGGTTTCAGTATGCTTCACTGGAAAGCAAGTTTTTAATAGCATTATTAAGGTATCACACCATGATTATTCTTACTTGGTTTTCAACTTAAAGTGTTTTTGCCTGCTGCATTTCCTTTTTTGGCTTTAAGGAAGGGTGGCCCAATAATTAAATTTAAAAAACCAAACCCAGCACAAAATATAACCGCTTTGATTTACAGGGTCAGAGGAAGAGCTTTGAAATGTCCAATAAATCCAAACACTATTTCCAGTCTTCCTTCTCGTTCACTCACTATTCTGCGTATTTTCCTTTTTACCCTTGAATAATATATGGATAAGGCAAGCATATCCCATTTATTTGCTCATTACGCAACCCATTCCTACTGTAGTAACATCCCATACTTCAATAACTGTGCACATTCTCGTTACCCCATCACAATAAACCATCAGAATGGGGAAACAGACTTCAGTGTGTGGGTCTCTCATTTTGGCAGGTTTAAGAAAGACGGAAAAAAGGGAAGAGGGGGAAAGAGAGTGGATAAGAACAGGAGGGAAAGACAAAAGCAGGGCTTAGCCTTTCACATGGGAAGGTATGCCAGAGGACAACCACAGTGCTTCTCAGCAAAACTCCAGGGATCCATGTCTGCAACAAGCTGCGTGCTGAGCACTGGCATGGGGTGCTGAGCACCAGCTGCTCCCACTGCAGCAAAGCAGGTCACTGCCTCACTCAGGACTGAGCTTCTGTGCCACAGACCATCGCACTCGCTGCTGCCCCCAGCACAAGGCATGCACCAGTTGTCTTCCACAGGGGCTGCCAAGCCCCTTGGTCACACCATTGCATGCAGACCCTCGCCTACAGCACGTGACAGGGACATGACCCCAGAGACAGTGGCAAATGTCATGATGTCAGCTCTTTGACCCTGTCAAAAATGTCAAACACAGCAGAAATACAGAAGACACTGTTTTAGTGATACAATGCTAAGAAAGTCTAGGAAAAATATAAACTTAACCACCAAATTAATGAAATTAAACTCAAATAATCTTCCCTCTTAAAACTCTGAAGGAGCACCAATTACCTTCAGTCACTCAAATGAACAAAGTTCTCTATGGCGTTACTTCTCAATTCTCAAAAAATACTCCTGGCAGTATTTTGAGCATTATGGGAACACCTGAGTGCACGTGTTAAAATGCACATTTAACAAGCCTGGTTCTTCTCTCGCTGAAATCAGCTGCCCTTAATTTGAACAGCAGGAGACCTGGGCCTTTTCCACTGCCATGTTCCTTATCAGAGCTCTATAAATGTCACATCTTTATTTTATTACTGAAAGACATATTTTATAGATTAACAATAAAAGCATTCTTGTACGCGAGTTTTCTAGCCCCTGTTGAGATTCTGAATTCTTGAAGGTCAAATAAAGCAGTCCATAGGAAGGAGGAGAAGAAAATACTCTGCAATATCCTTTTAAAGAGCCACCACAGCAAAGAGAGAATAAATAGCTGATTTGTTACATGGCTTTGAGGGCAGCCACAAATGCTAAAACCACAGGTAAATGAACCTGGTCATGAAAGGAGCAGCAGCTCATCCAGTACCATATCTACATTAGTTAACTTTCTTTGTGATTCAAGTCCAAGACTTTTCATTGTTCTATTTCCGCCTATTCCTCTGCTCTGGATTCCCTTTGTGACACTTTTATCAATGGAAAATCGAGGGAGGGATTTCCAGCTGGGAGCCCAACAAAAAAACAGGAGGTTCAGTCTGTTTTTTTCACTTGCTCTGCAAGAACCATTTCAGCACTAGTAATAAAAGCAAAACTACACAAAAGAAAAAAAAAAAAAAGACATGACCTGAAATTATTTTAGCATCATAAATACTTCACCGCTCTTTATTCTGCAGTACGGTTAATGTCACACATTGGCATAATAATTCTCTAGCTTAAACAGAGCTCCTTGCAAATAACGAATTTATATTAAGGGCCACTGTCAGTTAGAATTCCAAGGAAATACAAAGAAAAAGAGAACAGTGGCATTGGTCAGATCTACTCTTTGTTATGCCCCTGCAATTTTGACAGATTTATAGCTGCAGTGTCATAATATTAAAAAGTTTAACTGTGTCCTCTGTGAGTGGTGAGGAAAATACACACAAACAACAAGGGGAGGCAAGCAGCACAGTGGGAGCCACACAACGTGGATTGTGCACAGGGACATCCCCATGGCCACACCTGCGGGTGTCATTACAGCAGCGTGGCACTGCCACAACCGCAGCCAGGCGGGTGCTTAGTTTAGCTGTAACCTGAGGAGGTGGCTTTGAAATTGATATCATTTGTACTAAGAGGATTTTCAAGGTAATTTTCAGGGGATAGATTTGGTTTCATTTAAGACCAGAAAAGACCAATAATCATACTTTTAAACATTATGGCAATGCAGACCATTCATCTTGGGAGGCACTTGGTACAGTAACAACAGAGTAACAACTCCCATGCATTTATGTGAGCACCATTTAACACAGCCAACACGCTCCTTGAAGTCCAGAGCTATTTTCATACACCACCAAGGAGACCCAGCCACCACCACCTTCTCAAACAAATGTCTCAAGGCTTTCAATAGTCTACTATCCAATCACTGCAGGCTCTGCTAGTGTCCTAAAGACAAGTGAAATCTGTTTCTCTTTTTCACATGTGTAGCCTGTAAGGGCTCTGCTGAGAGAAGTACCTTTTTTCTTTCTATAAGAAATTGAGGAAGTTATCATCACCTCAGTTGCACAAGCTTGTCAAAGGTGCAACAAGACAAGAAGAGAAAAGCTGAAAGCAAAATACAAGGGTGGAGAATCATATGCAAAGGCTGTCTTCTTAAAGACAGAGAATACTTAAAGATGTGTCTTAAATTAAAAAAAAAACAAAACAAAATAATTGGCAGTCACCATCATCAAATAACCTGAAAGTTCAGAAGGCATCTGAAAGAACATTGCATGGCACCCAAATTCTCTTCTATTTTTTGGTCGGTTGGAAGAATATTTTCAAAAGCTCACATGGATTTCAGCTACCTAAACTATAACAAATTGTAAACTAGAAAACCTTGACTGCTAGCATTCTCTGAATCTGTACCACAGACCTGTTACAGGGAACAACAGTTTGGGGAGAATCACGTATCAAGTACCTGCCCTGCAGATACCCCCAACAGGAGAACATGCCAAGCAAGAAGGGATAAAATACTTGCAACATTTTTGATGAGACTGGTGAGAAGGTGTTTTCATTGCTAGTGCCACAAAACCCAAAGTTTTTTAAACAGGCTACTATTTAAACCCAGTTTTACACTGAGCTTTTCATGTCTTCCCTAAGTCAATACATAAACTTCATAAATGACCAGGCAAACCCATAGATCTAGGTTATATGTCCAGCTCCAACCATTTACTTTATTGTCTTCCACAACATAGAGCAATTCTCATTAAGTAGTTGAATGTGTAGAGAGCTCAGTAGAGAGCGAAGGAAGTTCCTAAACCAAAAATAATCCATGGGGCAAACTATGTGTGGAAAAAATTAATATAACTTGTGTGAAGTCAAATGAAGTGACTGAAGGAAGTTTATGTGATCCCAGCAGACACAATCACATCACAGACAAACCAAACAGGAGGAAATATCCTTGAAAATATTCAGCTCTTTGGAGTTTTCTCAGCTCCAAAACCAGACAGCAGCACATGAGTAGGTTACATTAACTAAATCCATCACGGAAATCTCCATATAATTTCTGATCACTGTCTAGGGTCTGGTTTTTCACTGTGGCCAATCTCTGAGAAAGACATCAGAAAAGCAAAAAAACCCACACAACACTAAAACACAACAGTAAAACAAAGAAACAAACAAAAATACAAAGCCCCAAACAAACAAACAAAGAACCCCACAAAACAAGGGAAAATTACCACACCCACAGCTTAGACAAGACAAAAAATGAAGTGAGGGAAGAAATCACTTCCCATCCCTGCAGGTAAGGTCAAAGTTTTCTAGCACTAGATTTGAAAATAATTAATATGAGACCAACAAGTTAAATGGCCTTACAGGGTCTTTTTAATTTATTAAATATATTTTGCTTTAATCACATTAATTTTTCAGAAATGTACAATAATCTTTGTGGTTTAAAATTACTTTGTATCCATTTTTTAATGGAGAGTATTTTTATTCATCTAATACATTATCCTTTCAAGAAAATTAACATACTTGACTACAAGTACTTAACGGGGCACTAATTAATACTCCTATTTCTCCTCATTTAAAACTCCTTTGAGAAATGAGGTCAGAAACCTGGTTTAACGCAGAAGACACTTCTCAGAGGCTAAAGGGGGAAGGCACTCAAAAGGCACTTGTCACCCTTCAGCAGGAGGACATCCCCTTTGAACGCTAAAGCCCAGCCCGTCAGCGATCGCCCCGGCCGAGCCAGCGGCTGATGCTAAGCAAGGCCCTGAGCAGCAGCTGGCCCGGCAGCACGTCCCTCTGCCCCACGCCTCATGAACCGCGAGAAGGAATTCTCCCACTTCTTGTTTAACGGGGAGAGTTTTACTTTTCCCACTCCTGTCAGCTTGCGGCAAGCAAGCTGCCCACCTCTCCCCGGGAGCACGGCCGAAGGGCTTGTCCTCCTACAGCCCGCTGCTGAAGCCACTTGTTCCCGTGCCGCGACACAGGACGGGCGGCTCCGCCTCCCTCCGCGCAGAGTCCCTGCCTGAGGCACGGCGCCCTGCCAAGGCTTCAGCAGCGGCTGTGCCCCGCCAGGAACGCCGGCAGGAAAATGCGGGTTACAAACACCTCCCAGAGCTGTTTGGGACGCGGGGAACTGCTGCAGGGTTAAAGGGCCAAAGCAGAGACCAAGCGCAAGCGTTTCTGAAGCTCTCAGGAAATTTGCAGACACTCACCCGTGGACTTCACATTTGGGTTCGCTCCGCATTGTCTACTAATTGCAATTATCTAAGAGCGGCTCCACGATGGGAGGAGGGGAGGAGAAGAAGGCTTCCTTTTGGCACAGCTTCTTCAGAGTTCAAAGGACACATATGGCCTGCAAACACAGTGCAGGGAATAATGTAAAATTAAAGGAGGGATGAGAGGAAAATGAGAACGCAGCAGGGACAAGCACTGTTCTGGATCTGCTTGACTGGAATTTTAAATAAAGAAACAGGAGGGAAAAAATCAACAAAACCACCACACTTCTTTTAATTCCACATCTGAACAGAAGGAGGGGTCACGGGAGGGGGCCCACATATGAAGGGAAGACCTCTGGGGTGCAGAACCTGAGTACTTCTGCAGGGGGCAGAGACCCCGAGCCCGACGGCCTCAGCCCGGCAGCAGGAGCCAGAGGACTGCCCAGAGAGCAGGGCTGGAAGCTGCCAGAAATACAAGGGCTTCGGGAAATGCGCAACCAACACCTCCAAAGAGAAAGGATGGGTTCATTTCAGAATAAACACGTGTACAGTACCAAACCTGCAGGGAAGGACAGCCTGTCTACCCACAGAGTAAAGCAAGGAAAAATAAAAAAAAAGAGTCCAAATAGCGCAGGTCACAATTTCCCTTGCAGTGCTCGTCTTGCCACACAAAGAGAGCCACACAAAAGTCAGCAGCCTGCTAGATGCTGCCTGTGTCCATGCCAAAGGCTGACACCTGCTTGTGGCCTTGTCTTTGTTAGGGCAGAAACCAAAGGCTGCTCTTCTCACTGCAGGGCATATGAAGGGCAAAAATAAATAAATAAACTAAACTAAACAAAAAAAAAAAAAAATCCACAACAATTCTCGGTTGTAATTTCTACACAATTATTGCACAACAACCACCCATAATGAGAGAATGAATTTATAACCACACACGAGCTATATTTACCAGTGGACTGGTTACAAAGCAAAACAGCAGGAAACCACAACGTGTGTCTTCATCTTAACTCCTCAGCAGTGGTGCAAAGCAAGCCTGCCCGTGCAGCAAGGCAGGCTGGGCAGGTGAAACCCAGGCACACCCACCGAAGAGGAGCACAGCCTTACGGGGACAGAACCTGGACTGAGCAGGGCACAAAGATGCTGCCAGATAGTCAAGGGAAGCTATGTAGAGGTGCAGCTAGAAAGACTTGTTTGTCCTCAGGGTTAAACAGTTGGCCACACCAAGAAAACTGAAGGGAGTCTTGCCTCCCAACTATCCCAGCTTCCAGAAATTTTGATACCTAGGCAGAATTTAAAAAAAAAAAAAAAAAAACAAAAAAACAAAAAACCACTAACAAAGAAATAAAATCTGCAGTCAGGATCCAGCAGATGAACCGTTCCTGCCCCTTGAGATGAACAGCCACTCGCAGACAGCACTTTGTGCTCTTCTCCCATCAGCTATTCAAGTTGGCCCCACGGCAAAACGGGCACAATTCAACCCGAACTGGGACAGTGGGACTGTGCCACAAGAGGAGGCCTGACGAGGTCAGCAGCTGTGCCCCAGATGACAAACTTTTCATCAACTGGGGAGAGTTGATTTGGCTCAGCCACCATAAATTGCTGCGCTCAGGGGACCTTCACCCCTTTAACACTGCTTTTCAGGCAAATTTGCCAAAACTGCCTCACAACTTTGGAAGTTACTGGGCCAATGCACTTAAGGAAAGACAGGCAGCACACTCACAAGAGCCCCATTTCCGCAGGGTGACATCATACAAGCAGGCAGCATCCCTAGTGCCAGCAGTACACCCCTGACCACCTTGCCCCAGCTGCTCCTCCTCACCTCCCTCTGTGCCAGTACGAACCCTCACACTTTCCAGGCCAGGGTGAGAATGATGGCGAGCTAGATCCAGGAACAGATCCTGCTGAAAATTTACCTTTTTCTTTTCTTTTTTTTTTTTTTTTTTTTTTTTTTTTTTTTTTTTTTTTTTTTCCCGGGTTCTGAAAAATTTTTTTTTTTTTTTTTTTTTTTTTTTTTTTTTTTTTTTTTTTTTTTTTTTTTTTTTTCCCAGGGATTATTTTTAACTTGGATCCTTTCCCAGACCCAGCTCAGAGCATGACTACACAACGCTTATGTCAGCACAAGGAAGCCATCTAATGAGCACCCATGAGGGGGGCAGGATCGCTGCCATCGCTATGCTCACCACCTTAATGAGCTTGTAAAACAACAGCCCATAGACAGCAGGTTAAAAAGTCACAGAGCTTCAGTAAATTGAGGATGGCACATACAAAACCAAAAAAAAATAAAAACTGAAATTCATACACACAGGTTACCTAGCCACTGCCATGTCAAGCTGCCAAAACAGCAAAAGCACAGGCCCCTCCACTGAGGGAAAGCAACCCTGCACTCAGCTCCACCAAAACCCCAATGCAGAAGGGCTCCTGACACACACCCACGGAAAATCTTGGTCATTACTACTTCCTAAATAGGACACGCAAAGAAAACCCACACCATGTAAACCACTGGTATCTCAAAATGACCTTTCTCTTATCTTTTTGGCTAGGCATGCTCTCTCTGCCCTGCTCTGTCCCCGGAGAGACACCGAACAGCCCAGCCCCAACTCAAGGGAAAAGCATAAAAGCGAAAGAGAAGGGAAGATGAACAGATCAAAGAATTCTCCTTCCTCATGACCTTTGGGTGCAAATCCATCACAACACATTGTGTAACCTTAAACACATGTTAAGATGGAGACAAAAATCCATGATTACTGCTTCTGGTGTTTATGCTGACCAGTGCATTATTACTGCTCTGGTGGCAATCAGCGAATCTGTCATGAAAAGAAAGGATGTGCTGGGTTTGCTATCGATCCTTATAATTCCTGTCTGAGAATAATCATACCAGCTTGAAATATAGCCCAAAAGTGCACTGTTATTCCGGAACTGAACTGCTTTTGGAAAATGAGTAAAAAGCAGTTACATGCTCTTAGATATCTTCTTGAGGTTGCAGACAATTGTTTCTGGCTTTACAGACACATTTTTTGATCCTTTAAGTATTCTCTTTCCCCTATAGCTGAAAGAGCCACACACAAATAAAGAAAAATCTGGCTATCCCAAGAAATCATGTAACTGACTATACACAGAGGGCCGTCAAGTAGGGACAAAATAAACTAACTGAAACAATATGATTTTTTCTCCCTCTAATATCCTTCATTTATAGTCATGTCAGTGTGACAACCAATAACAGTAAGTGGAATGATTTCATGCATGATTTCTTATCTCAATATTTCATTAATATTGAGATATTCTATATCCCCTTGTGCAGCAGACAGTTTCTATCACTTGCTTTGTATTAGGACAACAGAGTAAGGCACCTCAAATTAAGCCTGGGGTGGTAACCATTCCCTCAAACCAGAGCTACAGCCCAGACTAACAGACTGTGACTATTGCCAGATCACCTCTTTCTCCTCAGTGAAGTCTGGACATCGCCGGTGGATGGGGAGGCAGAAGCACAAGCCTCTGATAGCATCCAAAACTGCCCCCAAAAATGCATATGAAAACACATATTCCAAGCATGGCTAGAACAACAGTACCAAACAAAACATATGATGCTAATCCAAGTGTTACAACAAATTGTCTATTGTAGCTGGAAAACAGAGAAACACAGGCCTGAAAAGGGATCAGAACAATACTGACTTAAAAATTGTTAAGGGTTCTTGTTAAGTGTACATTCTAATATATGCATAAAGCGGGTTTTTTTGAAGGTAGAAAAAAATACGACAAAACAGGTTAACAAACTAAATGTAAATAGTAAGGAAAAAATCAAAGATATAACCCAAAAGAAAACTGAGTAAGAAATACACAAATATTTTGTGTGCATATGTGTGTAAAATTTAATATAATTCCTAATTCTTGGTATCTTGGATAACACCTGTCTCTTTTCCAGATCTCAGTTTCAGAAGTTTACTACTTTTTCACAAATGGTTTCAGAAAGACTGTGGTCTCTTTAACAGTGAAGTTCTGTCCTCCATCCCACACATGTTCCCACTGACTCCAACCAGCCTAAAGTTAACTATAAATACAGTGGAAAGTCAAATACAAAGGTAATTTGTTGCCTAATTTTTCCCCTTTTTTCTGATGTGGTATTAGGCTAGTCATAAGGAATATAAAATACTTCTTTTTTGAAAATAACAGGTAGGACAAACAAAGCCTCTAATATTTTACAAACCTAATTGATGCAAAACACTAGATATGTGTTCTAGGTCTCTGGTTTTCAGATCTTTATTACCAAATTTTGACTTCTTTTCATTCCATTAATGCTTTCAACAGGTTATTAAAAAGCACAGTCTTGCTAATTTACTGTAATGTTTAGGATACCTACTCTAAATTTATGGAAGAAATCAATAAATTGATCAATCAAGAAAAAGAAACAGAAAACTGACAAAACACATTTTGTTCTATTACTGTGGCAATTCTAAATGGTGTTTTAATTATTCATATAAACTCTAATGCATTAGTAAATGTGATGTATTGCACACCTACTTTTTTTTTTTTTTTTTTTTAATTCTTGGGTCCTGATTCAGGAATGTGGTTCCTTGCAAAATTACAAGGAAGGCCTCTGCATACTTTTGCTAGTATTTGATTCTAAGTAGTCAAATGCTGTCCTGCTTTGGACCCACAATACCACAAGATTACTTACTCCACAGCACTCTCTGCTGAGAGCAGATCCACAGAGAAAATCACATAATGTCACACAGCCTTGTAACACACCACACAAAACAACCACGGGGCAGAAGTGCCTCTCCATCGCTCCTGCCATAGCTAACAAGCAAATTCCCAGAACTGCAGCTTGGAAGAGGAGGCAGTCATGTATATTAACATTCCGCTGAGAAAAGTAGGATGAGGCAATGAGCTAGTGAGTATCTTCAGGAAGACATGTCAGGGTCTAAATTCTGGGCCTGCCTCGCCAAGCCCCTCCTCCTTTTTCATCGACACAGTAAAATTCTGTGCACCTTCTGTACCCAGCACCCCCGGCAATGCCATTCTCACTCATTCACAGCCACGCTCACTCTGCCTACCCAGTAGCTACACTGAAGTAGGAACTACCATCCTTGTCCCGGGAGAGACACCAACAGCACAAAGAAAGCTGCAAAGCCGATGAGTG